CCTGTAACATATAATTAAACAGTAATACTTTAATATTTTCTGTCAACTTCACATCTTTTAATACAAAAACACGGTGGACCGCCTTGACGCCCCGACCACTGGGCTTAGCAAGTTTTCTGGGGGAAACCCTGCAGTCAGATCACACATTAGCTCCAAACTCCATTCTCCTTGGTGACTTAAACATGGACAAGAAAAAGCATCCACTCACAAAAGACTTTTCATCATGCCTTGACAGTCTTAGGGGGGGGTTTATTTTCAAACTATCCAACACACATTAAGGGACACATCCTGGATCTAACCTGCTGGATTGGTATCACTGCAGATTCAGCTTAATAGTTCCCCATTTCTGATCAGTTCCTCCTCTCCTTTGCTGCCTCATTTTGTCCCACCACTACTGTATGTCATCTCACTTTGTCAAGTACAGAAGTATCAAAAACATAATCCTCCTGCTCTCAATTCAACAATATGTGGCTGGCCATGATAAAACAAGCTTTCTAATGATGTCAAAGGTTACAGGGCTACTTGGAAACATAGCAAAGAAACTTGCTGGCTTCAGCTAATCACGTCTGTTAACTCGTAAACATTTAATAAATCGGTTAAAGTGATGGATTATTGCTCCATGTCCCGAATCAGATATTTCTTTAGGGAAAATATGAAGCAAACTTCACTTATTGTTGGTAAAGCAATGAAAGGGGCTTTCATTGCTTTATCAAGCTTTCTAATAATGTCAAACACAGAAATAAAAAAAAAGAAGATATAGCTATTTGAATGTTGGCACTCTGCAAACAGGATTAGGGAGAAAACATCCCTCAAACTTTAAAAATAATTGTTGCCAAGATCATCAAATCACCTGCCTGGGGATGTTAACAAAGGCTGTTCATTTACATTACTTTGCAATAATTCTAACCCCAGCACTGACTGTAAACTGGTATGACTGGGAAAGTGTGCAGACAAAAGTTGGCTTTTGCTTGCACACCTCCAGAAAAAAGTGAGCTTACCTAATTAAAAATATATATTTTAGTGATAAGCTTCGTTGCACATTTTTTACATCGACAAACTCACATTAAATATAATCCACTTAAAGCAATAAGAAATGGAGTAACACTTCTGTAGTGAAACGCTCCAAACTAACCACCCACACCCCTCCTTACAGGCCAGTAATAACTGACGAACAAACACACACATTACTGCATAAACATTCACCAAAGCCTTCAGAAAACACAAACGCAAGCAATAAAATAAACATAATGATGTGATACTAATTATTAGTAAGAGAAATAAATTAATTAATTAAAAAAGGGTTGGAGTGTCTCTATTTGACTTCCACATTCAGAGTATAATCAAGAAACTTAGTATGCCTCAAAGGCATATTTTATCTTTGAGGAAAAAATCTCAGCTTCTTAAGCTTTAAATTGTAGAGTACCTACTAGACTCAGTAAATGTGATGGAGTAGAATTAACCGACGGACCAGAAGATTCTGCTATTTCAAACCTTGGACAGACCTGAAACACCAAAAATGGCTGACTATGGGTTAGGAACAATAAGCCCAGCTTATTGTGGCGAAAATGTCAAACCAATAAGTCGTCAGCTTTGTACATGACCAAATCATATGCACATGTCTAGTCTAGCATAGGTATAATGAATCCTACATATAACCTTGCATTGGATCATTCTTGCAGTTGATGTTTGGACCTTTTTTGTGCCCACAAAAAAAGTCCATACTGATTTGCCAAATTAGAAAACAAAAGTCCAAATACAGATCAACTAGATGCCAAAAAATACAAAGTCACCTATCTAGGACTACTTTGGCTTTTAACGGGATGACCTGCTTTTGCTCCACAGTCACCTTTCAAGTTCTAGACTCAAGGACTTCCCCCACTTCTGCACTCCCTTCATTAAACGGGCCTGCCTTATCTCTGGCTATGTGAGTATTATTTTATAGTGATATTTCGTTTACTTCTTCTGCATGTCTTAATCACTTTATGAGCACTGTTTGAACACATGATCATCTTTTGTTATTTTACTTCAATAAAAATCAGTTAATATATATAGTTCCAATTGTTAACAAATTTAATGTCAAGTTATTTTACATAC